TGAAATGACGTTTCTCATTTAACCTTTTTCGGTTTACTTACTGCTTGATTTTTATTATTTTTAAGGCCAATAACTTAATTTTATTGATTTCTGCCAGGAGCAACTTATTTTTTGTTGCTAGAAAGGAACATCTGAAGAGAGCTGAACCTTCTAATTGTATAAGGTAAGAAAACTAATAAAATATCCCATACTGATGCATATCCACATCACTCGCTTGGAAAACAAAGTCTAATGAATGACTTTGTTTCATCTCGTAAGCCTTTTTTTCACAGCTTCTGAGTTAGCCGACAGTTCTTAACAAGATAAAACATTCAGATGGCGAAAACGAAAAGTGGTATAACAAATGTTATAATAGATAAAACTACCTCTCTGAATTATCCCAATCTAGTCAATGGGCGTCATTCTGGCCACTGAAGACGCGATTTGTATTTTTAACTTCTTCATTTTTTTCTCCAGTTAGATCTATAATTTCCTTCTCTGTCATTTTTAATCCTGCTGGATGATTTATAAACCCTTTCAAAAATGCTTAAGAAAGTGTCATATCGCGAACCGGATCGAAGATCAGATTATGATAGATATGCAGGTAAAGGAGGAAAAAGAAAACTCCCTATTTGACTGCTTTTTGTGAAATGTGATTTGAATCACTTCCTGCCAAAGTAATCATTTTATGTTCTTTTTATTGTTTTATTTTCAATACAGCAGCAACATTTTTTGAATCACTTCAAACTGGTATTTTAATAAAATGTTTCGTTAACTTAATGTTGTTTTTTAGAATTCTTTCAAATGTTTGTTTTCGAATCCTTCTAAAAATGTACTGTTTTAGGATCCCCAATGAACGCTTTACAAAGGCCCGCGGTTTAGACTGTCTTCCGATGTAATTAAATTCAACATATTTGACATGTAATTTATTTAACAATGTTTCACGTACTAAAGGTAGAATTTTTATCCTTTATATAATTATATATAGAAAGTAATATAAAATATATTGTTTACTTTCACATTGTTTGGAAATTATACGTCTTATGTTACTTGCGTTACGTTACTTTTTACTACGGTTTTTTTTTTTTTTTTTTTTTTTTTTTTTTTTTTTTTTTTGATAGTGTATTTAAAAATTTACAGAATTACCGGTTCGCATTTCGATAACTTCCAGTTTTCAACAGTTGTTTTTAGGTTGTAAAAAAAGGTGAATTCCTCTATATTTTTGTTTAACTACAGACGTGAACAAATTATTAGAAGTCTAAGAAAAATAATTTTTAAATTATCTGACTTAACGAGACTTTTAGGTTCTCAGTATCTCAAGTTTCAACACACGGCGACTCAGTACTCTTGGAGTATTTCTGAATGTACACATGACAGTAGCCAACTCATGGCATGCGCGTGCTACGCATGTGTTTCAGAATCATAGATCATGAATCAACCACATTTGGAAGAGCATAAGCTAAATATGTTTCGTCGGTTTTAAAACTTTTAATATTAGCCATATAAATTTTTGTTTTCTTCCTCACAAAATTTCTTGTTTCTTATCAAATGCTTATTTTTATTATTAATTGGGAATACAACATTATCTCTGAGCTGTAAAAATACCCCAACGAACGCTTTTCATCAAGTCATAAAAATCGCCGCCAATGAACTGGAGATTTTTCTCAGAAGTGCGGATAGTTAGAAAGTACTGATTTAGTTTATTAAACTAAAAAATTTCAATATATTAACCATAACTTAATAAGTAGTTTACCGAAACACATTTTTTTCTGAACATTAAAAATGCAGCAACTCTTTCACATTATTTTTAGTTAAAAGATTAAAAACATTTCACACAAAGCATGAAAAGACAATTTTATTTTCAAAATATGAGACTCATGCTTGAGGCAAAAACCTTGCTTTAAATACATTGATCTATTTGTCTCATAGTTTCTTCTAATAGCATATAACTGTAACAGGCTTTGCTCGTCATAGTCCAGAGCATGACTGACGTTGGGTGCTTTACAAAATTCTGCAGAATGTACTCTACTTAGGAGCTTATCGCAGTGTTTCTCAATTAATAGAGACAATTAGTTCGTCATTAAAACCATATCTGAAAATAATTAATCTCATTTCCCTGATTTTTTTGCTAAGAAAATATCCAAGAATATTAAAAAATAAAATTTTTTAAAGTTATTAAAAGTACAGGAGATTAAATAAATTAAATAATAATCATTCAAATATAGTAAAATATCAATGATGTTTCACTGACTTAAGTGCATTCTGTAATGGTTAAATAGCAAAAGCTATTTTTTATCTTTAACCTTCTTGCTGACCAACATCAGTCATGTCAGTGTAGCTGTGTTCGAGCTTTTGGCGCTAAAGGGTTACTTTAATCGTCAAAATCTTACCACGTTAAAAAAATATTAATATTGGATTTTTAAGTACACAGCTATTTATCTTGAAATGTGTGCAGACAGTTAATAGCATTATGTGTTGGATGAATCTAGATGGATTGCTTATATTTGCATTTCAATAAATTTCTAAATCCTCTAAACTGTATTTGAACCTACTTCTGAATACAGTTTTATACAGATATATAGCTACGTATAATATGAAATTTTATCTTACGTATAATATAAATTTATACGTATAAAAATAATATAATGATATAATCTTATACGTATAATATAAAAGTTTATCTATCAAATCTGAACATTGTAATTAAAATTTCAAGAAAATCTGATGAATTGTGTAAACACTGTGTCTGTATAAAATAGTCAATTTTTAGAACTAAATTTGAAATCATATGAAAATTTCGACTTATCACTTTTCATTGCTTTAATTAGAATTATGAATATTATAGATGCAGGACTGCTTAAAAAAATAAATCATAGAAAACTAAGTGAATTTTTTTTGGAATGAACTTAAGTTTCGAAATATGAAAGGAAGAATCAAGTAAGTTTAATAAAAAAGTAAATTTCATCAAGTAAATTTCATCAAGAATCAAGTAAATTTCATCTTATAACTAGCTTATGCCTTTACGTAGCAGATGCATCAGCGACAGCTTTCAAATTAATAATTATACTTTACATCCCCCAATGTCGATGAGAAGAAAATTGTTTCCGGCCTTTATTTTCCCATGATTTCTATGTTTTCCAGATTAATCTAATAAATGTTAAAAAGCATAAGGAATCACAAAGAGTTTATGATGCGGATTGTCTAAAGTTATTATACTGCAATCTTCCTAGCAACAAAAAAATACACATGTTAGAGATGACGCGAGAAAAACATGCAGAAATATAATTAAATAGGGTAAAAGAAGGACAACAGACACATAATATTCCATTAAAATAAAAATTTTACAGAATTTTATGTTACATATATTTGTTACATATGTTCCTAAATGACATTCTCTGAAAAATGTTAATTTTGCGCATTTCTCTACAGTAACTAATAGAAATAAAGTTAAAATTTGGAATAATTATATGTTTTATTTGCTTTCATAATAGCAATTTTACTTAAAACATCAGTCAGTGTTTCATTATTTTAATAATTTATTTATAATATATATTACCTTGTTTCTTTAACAACTTTTGGATAGTGTCATCCGAAAGATGTCAGGCTTATGTAAATTTAGTTAATATCATCGGACAAACAATTTGCCAAAAGTGCAAATCAGTGGTCTAAAATTTACTTGAATACATGGAACTTCAGCTCTTTTAAGCAACTGAAGTTTCAATTGCATATCTGCTAATATGGACTACGTTTGTGCGGTAGAATGTCAGACCTTTCGGCGTACTCGGGTAACTTGTCTTTTTTTCAATCCGAGTGACGTCTTTAAAGAAGAATCAATGAAATGAGTTTTCTTCACATTGCAGCGAAACTCATGATAATGAAACAGTTCTGATTACAATTTGGAGACAAGTAGAAGATAATTACTGTTTGGACTGAAGCACCAAGGCAAATATTCAACGCATAAATCAACAAATATGACGTCAGGTAGTATCAGCCTTTACAATTCACAGCTGACACCATTCCGTGAGGTATACTGAGAACTAAAATCAAATACTGAAAGCAGACAGTTTTGCATTGAATGGTTGAGGTAGGTTTGTATTCAAGCATTCTTTTCAAAGATTGCCAGTAAATAACATTACATCTGAACGCTTGTAGTAGTGTTGCTTCAGGTTTAACGTAAAGTCATGAAAACTACAGTTGAGCCTGCTGTAACAGTTATTATTAATTATGCTGTGATAACTGTGTTGACCTTTCTGTAGCCACTGGACATCACACAGCTCGTCAGGGTTCAGTCATGCTGTGGTGTGCCATCAGCATCAAAGTAATATGTATGTAAAACAAATACAGTGATGCCAAAATGATGATTATGAGGTATTACATACTACTGCACTCAGTGTATAAAATTATGCTTTCAGAAAAAAAAAATAAGCATGGCCACCTCAAGCTAACATCAAGGAGACATTATTCGTTAAGTGTCTCAATGATTCCCTAGGCAACACGAATCGCAGACTTCGACAATCAAGAACTTGTGAAACGAGATTGTTCTTCAAGTGAATGTTTTACAATTACCAAGTTTTTCTTATTTTTTTATGGTGTTATGTCTAATCTGTGCGCATTTAACAAGATACTTAAATGCAGATATTGTGAGAATAATACAAGTATTACAGATATCTGTGCGCTCGTCTGTCAAGGAAAACTTTCAAAGCCTATAGTTATTTATTCATAATGTGCATATTATTTATTCATAAATGTAATAATTTTCTTCCGTATAGTTTACCTAATTGCAAGTTCAAAACGTACAGTCATTAAACCATGTATGACATACCATACTAACATGTCTCCTCAGTATACTCAGTTTAATATTCACTAAGCTTGCTTAAGCACTTCAAATCTTATTTCTAATCCTTCTAAGATTTATAAATTTTCAGTTAGAAAGATTACAACAGATTCTATCATCTCTAACAAAAACAACATGTATGTTGTAGAAAACAAAACAAAATACACACAAATAATGAGATAAAAAGTCCTGTAAAAAATTTTTATTAGGCAAAATAACAAAACAACTGATATTTATCAAGTGTACATAATTCGTTAAACGTGAAGCGATGACAAAATAGCTACAACAGGACATACAAGATTTCCAACATTATATAAAAACTCCCCACCAAAAATAACTACCAATTTAAGAAAAACTAACACGAAGCAACAAATATATATGGGTTATATCTGATAAAAGAATAGGTGTAATATGAATGAGAATGAAATTCTGAAAACAAAAAATTTACACAATACCATGAAAATGAAAAGAAAGTTCGCTACGTGTAACTTTAATAAAAATTGATTATGAAATATGTATATTTCCGATGTAGTTTTTTATACATACGATACGGTGTTCATGACTAGAATTCCAGAATCGTTTGTGGTGAACTGGTGCATGAAAAATGCATAAAATACATGAAAAATGTACAATGAATATGTTTTTACAATGTGTAAAATTTTACAATGTTTTTATTTCAAAAATAATTTAGACAGTGTTTTATACGCACATTTCCGTTCTTTTTTGAGAATTCATTACTATTGACTTCTGAAATCAACAATTAAAAAAAATTATCATCACTGATGAAGCATATTTCAGTCGCAGATGAAATTCTTTATAAAATGTCAAATTCGTTGTCTTCATAAAATATCTTAAGGTTAATTAATACATATGTATAAATTTAAAAAAAATCTGCAACTTTAAAGCAAAAATCTGTTAAAACAAAAATTTAAGATTCAAAGAAATTACTTTATTATTCGCAAGTCAGAATTACACTGATTACGACACAGACGGAACAATGGTTAATGCATCTTCGTTTTTCGAAAATAAAGAAACACATCCACTAAAGGAGTTATAACAATTTACACTACATATTTCCTTCATTAATGTTCTGTGTTTTATTATTAATTTGTTACTGATTTATAAATCATCTTTTTTTTTTTTTTTTTTTAAATTTCTGTTTTCATTCAACATTTGGACGTAATAAAATTATTGTTAGCATGACAAGACCCAAATTTCTGTAATTTCCAACTAAGCACGATTATTTTATGCAAACATTCTTTTAAAGACAAAATTATTAGTTTCTTTTTTAATCTACACATCCAAACATGTATTTATTAATTATATAAAATACAAGTTAACTGTATATATCGATAATGACTGATTATTCAAATTAAAGTATCTCTGAAAGTTCTTAAATTATTTTAAGCATTAAAAAATAAATTTCATTATGGGCTAATTTGCATATACTTACTTAGTTTTAAAACTGTATACAGTATTAAAAATGCAAATGTTAATAAAACATGCAGTAATTAAAGCTCCATAAACATATAGTCTAAAATGATAAAAAAGCATCATAATGGAAGTTCTTCAGAATATCCCAAAATAGCAAAGAAGATACGGGAAGTAGTTGCGTTTATTTTAATAATTCGAACTAATTTACCAGAAATCTGATAATTTACTAGTTGACAGTGAACGAAACAAATAATACCTTAGGCTCTTGCAATAATTATCATGATAATTAAGCAAAGCTGGATAGTAAAATGTTGATTTATATAAAAAAGCAAACTTAAAAATAACTTGAAAATAAATTAAAAAATTTAGAAATTTCTAATGTTATCTAGTTTTCTAATATTATAACTGTTCATTAACATTAAAATCTATAATACCAGTAAATTATCGCTGAACTAATTTAAAATAATGTAAATTATTTTAATTTAAATAATTTATTTATTTCATAAAAGTTTAAATATTATATTCAAATGTCCTCTTAAATTATTTTTATTTTGAATTGTAAAATAAGCTAATTTTGAGTTTTTTTACATTTGTTTATTAAAATGAGCTAAGTTTAAACAGTGCGTTCATAATAGAATATTAATAATTTCTAGTTTGTAAGTTTCGAATTTTGTAACTATTTTAAGAATTTGCAATCAATCTTAAAACAAGAAGTTGAAAATATTTTTGAAAACGTTCAACTAGTCTTCCATAGCTGAAATATTATAAAGTAAATTTATTTAAGTTATTAATATTTCCGTCAGAATACAACTTTTCAAATATGAAGCTGTACAACTCTTCAAGCATGAAATCGATAGGAAAAGAAATTAGTTTTACAGAAATATTAAAATTATGCTTACATTCTTAGCATAGTTATCGAAATAAATTATACACGCAAAAAAATCATTAATAAACAAAAACATTGCATTTTAAACAAATGTAAATTATTCCTTAAAAGTGGAAAATTTGCCAAAATTTTATAGCATTTTAAATATTTCAAAAGTAAATGAATTTAAAATGCTAACGTTAGAAAATTTTAATGCACTTTACATGTTTGAGAAATAAATGAGTTTAAAACGCTTTTAATTTACTAATTTATGAAAGAGTAAAATGATTAATACAATTAGCTTTAGAACTACGAATATTATTTTTAAATAAATAATTTAGAGAAACACGGAACATTTCAAAAATTATTTTATATATTCTCACGAAATCTAAATAAAAAAGCAAACTTGCAATTTTAAATGCAATACTCTACTCTTCTTTGTTTATACATTAAATCAATATGTAGAGGAATAAATAATTTATAAATTATCAATTAGTATATTCAGAAATTCAATTTTTTTAACTCCATTAGTGCTGTATAAGAACTTTCTGATTTCTACCGCCTTTTCAGACAATAATATTTAATCATCTATTTATTTTAAACATAAGATGTTATTATATTTAGCGCAATTCATAATAAAAAAATTTAAATTCTATTTCATTATTAAATGCAGTATATAGTAAACAGAATAAACAAAATTATATGAAAATTTTAAATTTAAATTTTTAAGCAGTATTTTGATTCATTACAAAAGAAATAAAAAATACCTGAAAGTTTCGAGACATGAAAAATTACAAGCACATACACATAAGTGACGCATTAAAAATGTTATATACAACTCTTATTCGGACGGTTTGTTGTAAAAGAAATTATATATTTTTACAGATTTTAATATTTAAAATACTTCAAACCGGCGGTGGTCCATGAATATAGCGGAATTGGGGCGTCAACGAAAAATTGAAATTATTTAACATATCGCAGCAATTTGGCTCCAGATACCAAGCAATACAATACAGTAGAACCAGGGCAAAATGCACAGGAACAGCAACACGGATAACTCGCCAAAACCGAGATGGTCTGCTGCTGGTGACGTTGACATCCTCCATTGAGCTGTCAGGTAGATGGTCAGCTGCCATTTTGAAATCGGTCGCATCGTCACAGGTTTCGTAGCTTTCTGACTGGAGCGCGTCTTCGAAGTGGTCATCTGCACCGTCCTCAACTGATACGGAGGAGTTCGGATGATCAACACTACAATTGGAAACAAAATTAGACTTTTACAATAGGTTACAATTTAAATACTTTATATTTTTTATAAAATACGAAGATAATAATTAGTGGTTACAGTTTATGACATAGCTTCAAACTACTGCATTCTATAACACTTGTAAGAAAATGAAGGTGACCTCTTAGGACCTAATCGGGTTGGGAAACGTTTCGAGCAACTCGCAGCTGCAAGAAACCGAACTGGATAACCATTCGTATGCAAAAGACAAAATTATTAGTCATTATTTAATCCGTAGGATGACAGTGACGTTAATTTTGGATGATCTTTACATTTTCTCTTCACTCAGTAATTAAGTTGCTGAGAGCAAACGTCCTCCCGGGGGTCAATTGGGAGGCAACTCCCGGAGTTCTGGCTAGGACCCCAACCTACACTGACTCGACTTCTAGGGTAAAATTAACAGTCCTCAAAGTGACTAGAACCATTGTTTATTCGGTGGCAAGTTTAGGGTCGGCAGAGACCATATGGTACTGTCTTGTTTGCCCCTTGGTTGTGAAGACGTTACATAGTCAGATGTCGAAGGTTGTCTTTGGGGGTTTGGCTGCCTTTGGTCAATACTGGAGAAGGTCGATGTCTTACTTTGTTCTCTTTGATTTTACGTGGATGCGCTGCCGTCCATGATAGACTTGAGTACATAACCCAGACTGTGTGAAACAAAATGGTCCTCCTGGGTTCACCCGGGGTTAGTCCTCCTTGGATCGCCTCTAGGGTTGGGACTGGTTAATTGTGTAAGGCGGCTTAAATGCTAGCCAGGTCAGGGTACCCCTTCCTCCTAGTGTATTGTGAGCAGTCATTAATTGCGAACTACAACTTTGATCCCAAAACATAAATTTGAGGCTAGAACCTAGTTATTCGAGATGTTTCCATGGGTCCGCATTACGTCCAAAGAAAATAATCAAGCGCTTTTATGCGCCTGGATGTACTGGGAGTACACCATATGCGCAGTCGCATGTTCGCATAGAATACATACTTGCGCATGCATAGTTAACAAAGTAATTGCAACTAATGTATTAATAAAACCAATAAATTAAGTTAGTGAATTAGATAATGAATAGACAGCTGATGTTAAACTATAAATGCGTAGGATTAATTCTTGAAATCTTTCAGGTATATGAATCTACGATGATCTAATCTCTACGACTGTTAAGAATTATTACCATCTATGTCAACAGCTGAAGTGATTTCGCACACTCACATACCAACAACATTCTTTTAAATCACATCATCTGCCACAATTTCCCACAATGCAAATTGTTTCAGAATGACCAAAAAAAAAAAAAAAAAAAAAAAAAAAATGTTTTAGCTTGTACGAAGTAAAGGAAGTATTGTAACCACGGAAAATTCCGAGTATCATATTTCGAAAATATCCATTTTTACTACTATCGAATGCAATTTAACGATGTTTTTGCGTAATATCTGTGCGTAAGGACAGAATAAACGAATCTTTTCCCCAAAAGAAATTCTAAGACTGATTTATAATGAATTCAGGAGAGATTTTTTTTTTCGTGGCGTCTGTACATATATGTATCTCGCATAACTCAAAAATGAGTAGCCTCAGTTATTCTTATCTTCTGGTTAAAGTTTTTATATCTTTAGTTAATCTGCATGCAATAGTTGTAGAATTATCAACAATTTAAAAGTTGTTTAAGTGCGGCTAAGCCTACTTTTTAACCATAGCAGCCATATTTGTTTACATTTGAAACTTAGGATAATAGTGAATTAAGTCTTTCTGCACTTTCAGCGTCTTTTTGATGAGTGGGACCAAAAGGAACTTCCAGTTTTGTGCACCGATAAATCTGCCTTCTTGCCTGCTGGCCGAATTGCCTGTTTTTGTGTAGAAACTCTAATTTTAATTGTAAAAATTGTTTTTAATTCTTTTAACTGCATTTGGTGTTTTATGTATTTCTATATCTTTCAATTTTTAATGAAGATATTTTGAGTTTTTATTTATTTTTGCTTTGCCGCGAAGTGAGAACTGAATTAATTGAATGGGAAATATATCTCTAATGAAATTCGAGGAAATTTTTTTGCTTTGTTTTTTAAGTTCATGATTTATTACAATTATCATTATTATCGTTTGTTTGTATATGTACTGTCATCTATCATGGCTCAGTCAGAGATCTGGAGAACTAAAAATTTAGCTTCATGAAGTCCCCAGACCATTAATATGTCATTATTCTCCAACTCATATATGCAATACCTGCGAATTCCTTACAAAAGCATTTTATAAATCTACATAATATTAAACCTTTGGATAATGACCCAATGGACTCATATCAATGATCACATGCTGTCATTCGTTGCAGTTATCGTCAAGAATAATGAGGTCTCAAGGCTATTTCAAGGAGGAATAAAAAAAATTCCCAAGTTCCCTATTTGAAATCATATGATTGAGTCCCACGAGTCTCATTATGTGCAAGGTATTTAGAAACACTCCCGCTGTTCGATGGAAGTGATCACATTTAATTTATACACTCAATCTATGCATTAGCAAGCTGACAGAACACAAGTTCCTGATTCAGGATTATTAATGTGCGTCAGTACCCGAGTAGCAAATAATAAGAAAAGTAGGCATAACCAAAAGCCCTCTCGCTACTACTCCGATCGGGCACCCGTAACTCGAAAATACTAGCACACGTCACACAAATTAAAAAAATAAAATAAAAATCGCAAGCCAGCACTCCTTCCCTAAGGCCGGAGGGGCAAGTGCCCCACCTCACATTCAATTACTGCCAAGGCAGAGCCGTTAAGCTGGCGGTAATGGTGATGTTCTGGTTTTGGGGGGCCTCGCGCCTCCACGAGCCTCTAACAATAGACGGAAGACAAATTCTAGTTCTTGTTTCCCCATGTTGTTCTTCTTCAGCTTGTCTACAGAAAAATACAATTAAGGGTGTGGTGAAGGCTGCATGTTTATGTATACTTAAGATTTATATATACATAAGGTATCTATAGATTGATAGTGATACGAGTTGTGCAATGCTGGCAAAACCTTGGGATGGGCAAATTTCATTGGATATGGTCTCAGATGGAGCTATTTAGCAGAAATTCATTAACTGTACTGTAGGTTTTCGAACTTACTCTCAAACTGTACAGAATTAAAATGACTGAAACTTCCTACAAGTATATTAACAACAAATCGAGCTGAATGAAATTTTATGGTATTCAGTAAATTACGGAAGATAAGATCATAATGTAGGAATGGAAAAAAGACGTAGCCGAACTTCGTGTTCTCTCCTCTAGCCGCTCCTGTTCTAAATCTTCACCAATAAGTTTGTAAGATTCTCACAGTGTAATTCTCAGTTACTGTAGAAAGTGGCGAATCTCAAAAACTAGTTAGCGAATAATCGCTTGAGAAGAAACAACAAGATGGAAGGGTAACTAACCCTTTATTATTCCAATAAGATTTAACAAAACTCCGTCTTGGAGTGTACAGTACAAGCCGACACTTGGGTTTGAAATTAAGAGACTAAAAATGAAACTAAAACTAAGATTAACTAAAGAAATATAGCCGAAGCTATCAAGATTCTAATCGAGTTGGCCCCTTAACTTTATTTGACTACGAAGCTTATCAAGGGCCTGATTACGGCCGAGCGTTGAGAGAGAGACTAGCCAAAAGGCAGACGCGCATAAATCAGAAACTCTGATTCTCTCTAACTCTGTAAGTAATTTTACGGTTTAAATACCGCTCCTCCTCATTAAGTATTCAGAAAGATTCCAAAACTACGTTCTGCCCGGAAGTAGTAAGTTAAAGTTAAGAATTTGACAGGAAAGGAACTTTAACAGGAAATTCAACTGTTAATAAAATTAACATAATCTTTACAAGTTATCTAGCAAATATAATTGTTTAATAATTAACTAATTCTGAAAGAATAAATATGATAACCTCCCGTTAAGACTTTCTTAATGGAAGATAAAATTCTCACTTCATATATACGTCAGAATCACTAAGAATTTTTATCCTCTTGAGTCACAGTCAAAGAAAAATATTTGAGAGAAGAGATATTATTTTTAGTAAGTTATACAACTATACTTTTTCATGAAACTGCAAATGTTAATTTCGCGTTAAAAAGAATTAAAAAATGCATTGGCTACAGTGAAGCAAATGATGTGATTTATTTCTTTCCCTTAATCATGAACAAACAGCAGAAATAGAAGAAATGACCATCTACTAAATAACTGAAATATTAACTGTTCTACTTCAGAATTTTAGTACATTACAATAGGCAGAAAACTATGAAAAAAGGTTATACATAAATAACCTACAATATTCATATTATCTAAATATTACATCATAATTATAAGCAACCTAATAAGCTACTAATGGCAATAACGTAATTATAAGGAATCTAATTATTATTCCACACATAAATAATGAATAATTTGACGGTAAAGTTCTCCGTATTTTTATCATTTATTATAAAATTCCTCGCTACGTCCTCACTTCCTTCAATAAACACAAATATGTGTTTTAAGAAGTTATATTAAGCGAACATTTATTATCAAATAATTAATAAAAAGGCAAATCACCATTATTAAAATTTCATATCTTTTTATGGTCGCAGGTAATTTTACGCTCGGATTATACTAGTTTCTACGTTTAGTTTATTCTCCATTAATATTTAGCTGCCCTTTGAAATGTTTTAGAGATATGCATAGACGGATTTCATCCTATTTGCTCCGGCTTTTAACGGCCCTTCTATCACCAAGATTTTTTTTTCCCATGAAATTTCCAATTTGAATTTCAGGAAAGTGTAGAGTGGGCTCACTCTATTCAGGAAAAATGTAACATTCATCAAGTAAGTAAAGTTAAATAAGAATACTAATACTCATTCCTTTTTCCTTTGAAAAAAACCGTTGGAGCTTAAATTTCAGTTAAGAGTTAAACTTTACTTTTTAATCGCAGTCTTTTCATATTCATACTTTTACTTGCTAGTTCTTTTTGTTTTCTGAATTCATATTAATTTGA